TGGAAACAAAGAAGAATCAACAGCAGTTGGAAAATTAGGCCTTGGAGATAGAAATAATGCTGGAGATCACATGATAGAATTTTGTAAGACCAACGACTTATTCATCGCAAATACCTTTTTCAACAACACAAACGGTGGGTATACACGTGGGCTTTGCCAGATGGAGTATACAGGAATCAGACTGACTACATCTGTGGCAAGAGATGATGGAAAAGGTGATCTTCAGCGAAAACAAGGCCAGGAGCTGATTGTGGTATAGACCATCAGCTGCTCATTTGCAAGTTCAAGTTGAAGATGAAAACAAAACAAGTCCATGAAAGCCAAAATATGACCTTGATTATATCCCTCCTGAATTTAGAGACCATTTAAAGAATAGATTTGATGGACTGAACATCAATGACCAAAAAACAGAGGAACTGTGGGATGACATCAGGAACATCATCCATGAAGAAAGCAAAAGGTCATTAAAAAGACAGGAAAGGAAGAAAAGACCAAAATGGATGTCAGAAGAGACTCTGAAACTTGCCCTTGAACAGTGAGTAGCTAAAGCAAAGGGAAGAAATGACAACAAGATAAAAGAGCTGAACAGAAGATTTCAAAGAGCAGCTTGAGAAGACAAAGTCAATTATTACAATGAAATGTGCAAAGGCATGGAGTTGGAAAGCCAAAAGGGAAGAACACACTTGGCATTTCTCAAGCTGAAAGAACTGAAGAGGAAATTTAAGCCTCAAGTTGCGATACTGAAAGATTCTATGGGCAATATACTGAATGATACAAAAGAAGATGGAAGGAATACACAGAGTCACGGTACCAAAAGAATTGGATGACGTTCATCCATTTCAGGAGGTGGCATATGATAAATAACCAATGGTACTGAAGGGAAGAAATCAAAGCTGCACAGAGGGAAGTGGCAAAAAACAAGGCTCCAGGAACTGACAGGATAGATACCCATTGAGATGCTTCAACAAACGGATGTCTCACTAGAGGCACTCACTCAGCTAAGCCAGGAGATTTGGAAGACAGCTACCTGGCCAATTGACTGGAAAAGATCTATATTTGTACCCATTCCAAAGAAAGGTGATCCCACAGAATGTGGAAATTATCGAACAATATCATTAATATTACATGCAATAAAATCTTACTGAAGATAATTCAAAAACAGTGATAGCAGTATATTGATAGAGAACTTCCAGAAATGCAAGCTGGATTCAGAAGAGGACGTGGAATGAGGGATATCATTGCTGATGTCAGATGGATCCTGGCTCAAAGCAAAGAATACCAGAAAGATGTTTACTTGTGTTTTATTGACTATGGAAAAGCATTTGATTGTGTGGATCATAATCAATTATAGATAACACTGAGAAGAATGAGAATTCCAGAACACTTAATTGTGCTCATGAGGAACCTGTACCTAGACCAGGAAGCTGTCATTCAAACAGAACAAGGGGACATGCATGGCTTAAAATCAAGAAGGGAGTGTGTCAGGGTTGTATCCTTTCACCACACTTATTCAATCTGTATGCTGAACAAATAATCCGAGAAGTTGGACTACATGAAGAAGAATGTGGCATCAGGATTAGAGAAACTGATTAACCACCTGCATTATGCAGATGACACAACTTTGCTCGCTGAAAGTGAGGATGACTTGAAACACTTACTGATGAAGATGGAATACTACAGTCTGCAGTATGGATTACATCTCAATATAAAAAATCCTCACAACAGGACCAATAAGCAGCATCATGATAAATGGAGAAAAGATTGAAGTTGTCAAAGACTTCATATTACTTGGTTCTACAATCAACACCAATGGAAACAGTAGTCAAGGTATTAGATGTTGTACAGCATTGGGCAAATCTGCTGCAAGGAACCTCTTTCAAATGCTGAAGAGCAGATGTTTCCTTGAAGACTAGGTGCACTTGACACAAGCCATGGTATTTTCAATCACCTCATATGCATGTGAGAACTGGATAATGAAAAAGGAAGACCAAAGAGTAGATCCTTTTGAGTACTGGTGTTGGCGAAGAATGCTGAAAGTCCCATGGACTGCTAAAAGAACTAACAAATCTGTCCTGGAAGAAGTGCAGCTGGAATGCTCCTTGGAAATGAGAATGGGCAGACTTCATCTCACTTACTTTGGTCATGTTGTCAGAAGGGATCATTCCCTGGAGAAGGATAATATGCTTGACAAAGTGTAGAACAACAAAAAAGGGGAAGTCCCTCAATAGGATGGATTGACACAGTGGCTGCAACAATGGGCTCAGGTAAAGATTGTGGGGCTGGCACAGGACTGGGCAGTGTTTCATTCTGCTGTACATGGGGTCACTATGAGTCCAAGATGACTAACAACAACACACTACTATCTCTCAATCACCTCCTTGCCCTGAGGCACTGAAAAGTCAAATCTGTCCTTTGGGTTCAGAGTAATCCACCTGGGATTAAAAATGATCATTTCTTTTAAGCACTCTATTCTGGAGCAACACTGTCAGAAGGCATGGGGGGAAGGTAACTCTTAGGAGGAAAAAAAATGCCACTATATGGAAAATAATACCTGTTTCATTCCTGTACTGTATTTGCTTCTATCTAACAGCCCATTTTGCAGATGAGGAAATGGCTGTCCAGAGAGCTTGAGTAGCAAAGGCAGCACTAATGATTACCTGGTCTAATCTCTTGCTGTTAGTCTGCCTCCCAAAAATGCCTCTGTCCTTTGGGGTCTGGGGGCCTCTAGCCTCAGAGGGATCTGAGGAGAAACCACACAATGAGGTATTAATTATAAAAGAAACTAATTGGCACTTCTATAGCACTGTTTCTACGCTAATAACAACCCTACAAAATCGGTATTTCTGGTATCATTTTACAAAGAAACCAAGACAGAGAGGTGAAATAACTTCCCCAAGGTCACACAAAGCCAGGACCTGGACTGAGTAGGGAAACCCTGGGTGGCACAAATGGTTACACTCTATTACTAACTGAAAGGCTGGGGTTTGAACCCATGCAGAGGGACCTTGGAAGACAGGTCTGGTGACCAAAAGGTCACAGCTTTGGAAACACTATGGTGCCTCTACTCTGGACACATGGGATTGCCATGAGTCAGAATCAACTTAACAGCAACCCAACAATAGCACGACTAGAATTGGCCAGTGTGGTGGGTATAATGGGAAAAAGCTAAAGAATGGAGAAAAGAGACTAGCTTGCAGTGTGGAGCTTGGGGAGGCAGTGTGCCAGTCCTGGACAGCCGAGGTGCCACCCCGAAAAGGGCAGAGGTCCCTCCCCTGATTATCGGTTGAACTCATTGTCCCAACCTTTGCCCCTCCATCCTCATGGCCTAGCATCCCAAAGCAGAGGGGGCAGAAGCTCTCCACCTGATCTGGTCTAACCCTCTCATTTTACAGACAAGGACAGAGACGAAAGGTAGGGTCACCTAACGAAGATCACATAGCTAATTGGTGGCAAAGCCAGGATCAGAGGCCAGAAGCCCAGCCAGACAGGAGCCTGTCTCCCATTTAGAGATTCACAGGGGCCCCTACTGTTAGACCCTCCACACTTAGGGGAGGGGAGCATGGAATAGTTGCTATCGCTTACATACACCAGATCAGAGGACAGGAACCATCTCGTTTGCTCATGACTCTATTCCCACCACAGAGCCTGGTCTGTGGTAAATGCCTAAACACTTTGCCCTGTGAGAAGGTTTTTACCACCTTCCTATCCTCTAATCAATTTTCTGGTTGTCTGTGATGCTCTGCCGGGGAACAGTGCCAGGTTTAACCTCAATCCCATCCTCAGCACAATCTAATGTTGCCCTGATCAGTGAAAATTCTGCTGGGGGAACGAGTAGGGCAAGGTAGCCCTTGAATCTGAGCTTTCCACCTTGAATGGGGAGAACCAGATGTCACTAAACCTCTCTGAGGCCCAGGGGATGAGCAGACACTTAAGTGAGAATACTGACTCCTCCCACCTCCAGCTTCCAGTTCCTATGAGCTCTTCCTTCCTGGTACTCATTGCCATTTCTTCATCTGCCCCTCCAGCCCTACATCCCAGCCAGTTTCAAGTGACCCCTCTTCTGTCCCTCAACAGCACAGCATGCCCTAGCTGGTCCCTCAGCTGTCTCATTGCTAATCAGAGGCCAAGCTGGGTTTGTGATTGCTTCTCAGCCACCTCCTGTGGCTGCCTGGCTGTGTCCTACTCATACACCACGCAGTCCTTGCCTGTGAGATGCCCCCCACCACAACTGGAAGAGACATTCCTGCAGAGTGTTTCCTCAGGGTCCTGAGTGTGGGGTGGAGTAAGACCAGACACAGCATCAGCACGGCCGGGGGCCAGTGTCCGATCAGACTGTGTCTCTCCCTGCCCAATGACCTCTCAGGCACCCATCATGGAGCTCTGGGGTGCATGGAGCCAGCCCTAATCCCTCCCCAGGTCTCGCTTAGAAATGTCCATGCCCATTCCCACACCAGGACAGGCTCACGATGGATAGGTCTAGGCTTAACGAAATCAAGAGTGCATGGAAATGCCAGTAAGGTTCTAGCACTTTATACGTGTTAACATTCAATTCCCCCAAACAACTCTGAGGTTAACACAGTATTGTTCCTACTTTAAAGATGAGTGAAAAAACAGAGGCACAAAAATGCCTAATAGCTCGGTCAAGATCATAAAGACAGGAAGAGGCTGAGGCAAGCAGTCTGACTCCATAGGCTACACTCAGGTTGGGATTTGAATGTCACCACAGTACAATGCCTGGCCAGTGGGTGTTCAGAGGGTGGAACCCAGCAGGGTCTCTGTCAGTACTCACAGCATTCATTCTACCTCCCATCCAACTTATCTCAGTTTAGCTTATCCCTCCCGTCAGTCAGAACCCAAACCCTTAAGCCAAGAATGTAGATCCCTAAGGCCTAGGCTCTCAAACCCTCAAGGAAGACAACAGTTTGGATACAGTATTGAGGATGAAGTCTGGCCAGGTTAGAGCCCTTGCTCGTCCCTCCCCACTCCTCCGAGGGGCTCACCTGGGCATGTAGGGCAGCGGCAGCAGTGGCAGCTGGGTAGGTGATGGCAGCGTGGGAGATGGCTGGGGTCAACTCTGTGGTGTACAGAGGGTAGGGCGCCCAGGCCTCTGGGGATGCAGGGATCAGAGCAGCCCCCATAAGGTCATCTACAATGGGAGACAACAGCCCCCGTCATCAGAACACTACTGGTCTCCCCCTGCACCGTGCCCTTTCAGACAGAGAAGGGGACTGAGCACTATGGTTGAGCCATAAGCCCTCCCAACTCAGGTCAGACTCCTCCTGAGGGCCCTGATACCAGGGAAAGAAGCCATGTTAACCCGGCCTGGTGAGCCTCCTGTCTGCTTCTGAGACCTTCTCAAATGGCCCCAGCCCATCCCAACCAAGAGAAGTCAGAGAAGACTTCAGGCAAGTGAGGCAACCCTAATAGCTCAGAGGCTGAGTCCTTCTTAGGGGAGGAAGGAAGTCTGCAAGCTTCAGAGATGGGGGGCAAAAACCTCTTGGAAAAAGGCAGACAGGCAGAACTGATTCCCTCTACTAGAATCTGAACGTCTGCTTTCTGTGTGCAGTTCTATGAGGGGCCCAGGGTCAGGCCGAGTAAAACAGCATCAGGAAGGCAGCTCTGAGCACGACTCACAGGGGTCCCGTGCGATGAAGTGTGCTCCAAGGGCAGGGTGAGCATTGGTGGGATTTGGTGTTGCCATTAGCTTGTTCTTGGCCATCTTGGTGTTGGCTTTGGCGAACTCTAGCCTCAGGGTCTGTGGGTTCTCGGGATCAAAGCGAATACCCTACACAGGAAGGAAAAGAAGAGAAAGACTTACTCTGTAGAACCCAGATTGTTAACGACAGTGGGTACAGAAGGCCCCGGAGACAAGCTTCCCCGCATGGGGGCTGAAGCAGAAGAAATGCTGTTCAGGTCCCGGTGAGTCATGGCGTTTGGCACAGACAGTGCAGCCAAGGACTCTGCTGGGATGGTGGGGAAATAAGTGCATGCCCATAACTCAGGCACGGAGTTGGGGGAAGGTCTGCAGAAGGGGGAACGGAGACAACCACTGCCCGAGAGGTCTGTGGGTCAGAGAGACCTGTTCTCCACCTACTCACGTTCAACGCATTCTTGGCCGCTTCTGCTCCTGCCCGGCTGTCAAAGATCACAAAACCAACAGGCTAGTAGGAAAAAGAGAGAACACCCTGCATCTCTCCCAACATTCCATCCTCCTCCCAAAAAAGGCCCATCATTTACCTAGAAACAGCATTTTTCCTGCTAATGAGATAGAGAAGGAAAAGAAAAAAAAAAAAAATCTTGCCCATATCTCCCCCTACATTCAGCTGGAGCTGCAGAAGGTCTGAATATATCAAACTCTAGAGTCTGCCCTCCCAGGTACCACATTGTGGGAAACAATGCTAGCAAAGCTTTATTCCACTGCATTAAACCCCACTCTTTCAATAAGGTGTTTTTTTTTTGTTTTGTTTTGTTTTTTTTAATGTAGATAGTTAAGAGTAAGTCCCAGTGTTTTCCCCACAAGAAAGGGGATAGTAATGTGTCAAGGTTACAGAAAGGAGGAACGCTTTGAGTTCAATCAATGGATAGCAGATTGAAAACTTCTCCAACCTCATATCACCAAGGATCAGTCCAGACCCTACCTCGCCCCTGAAGGCTCTGGGCACTGGCCTCCTTGCCTCCTCTCAGCCATGGGGGCCAAGCTGGGGTTTCTGATTCTCAGGAGCTGATGGGCCTGGATAGCTGGCAAAGAGGAGAGGGGAGCCACGGAGGTGGTCCTTCCCTCAGCCCAAAATAGAGATGGGGTCAGCAGGGAGTGGGTCTCAGCGGCCAGATGCTTCAAGGTTAGGGTAAGAGCAACAGGCCTCGGTTGCAAGCTCAGCAGTCAATCTGGGCTAGGGAAAACAATAATCTAGCAGAGAAATTACCTGTCTCGATGTGAGCTTGATCAGGGACCCTTCATACCCCTGTGGAGAGAGGGGAGAATGAGCAGAGAAGGTCAGAGAACCTGTGTGGTGCTATCCCAGCCCCTCCCAGGAGCCCACCTTTCCCTAGGACTCTCCTGAATCCTTCTCATTTCCTTCTGCCTTCCTCCCTAAAGCGAACCCACTCTAACCTTCACTGGTGCCCCCCCATTGCCGTGTATCACATGGTCTAGCACATGAGGTGGACATCATGTGGCAGTGTTCACCAGCTCATGCGTAAACTCCTATTTGCTCCACTAGCTTATAATCCTGGATCACAGATCTTACTTTATATAAATTTTCTCATCTGCAAACTGAAAAGGCTAGAGAGAATCTCAGATTCCTTATATGGTAAAATCTAGTAAGATTCTCTATTGTCTCCACTTTATGGATGAGCAAACAGAGGTTCAGAAGCACTAAGCAACTTGACTAAAGGCAACATGTGAACAAGCAGAAACAGGACAGGGACCCAGGTCTGCGATCACAGTTTCTGATATACTTTCCCACATCTTCTTGCTGCCCAATCCCAAACCACAGCGTCACGCCCGCTGATCATCCCTTATCCTAGGCTCTGCCCTGACTCACCTTGAATGGTCGAAAGAGCAGGTAGAGCTCTCTGGGTTTAATGTCCACAGGGAGGCCACTAACAAACAATGTCCGGACCTGGGGACAAAGACCACAGTGTTCAGGGTCAGGGAGGACAGGTCTTCCCTCAGGCAGGGAATTGGAGTCCTTCTGGAGGTTACTGCAGTTTTTCCTGGGCCTCCTTTGTGTGCAGAGGTAAATTTTCACTCATAAGTTTCATAAGCAAGAAGCCCTGGGGTGCACTGGTTGAGCATTTGGCTGCTAATTGAAAAGTTGGCTGTTCAAACCTACCCAGCAGCTCTGTGGGAGAAAGACCTGGCAATCTGCTCCTGTAAAGATTACAGCCTAGAAAACTTTTTATGGGGCAATTCACGTAGTTGCTTAGAGTCACTATTGACTCAACAGCACCTAACAAAAACAACAGTTTCATAGCATATAACTTTCCAAAGCCCTCTCAGTGAACCTTCTTTTCTCTAGGCTCACAGCATCCTGAAGGTGTCATTAACAAGTGCCTGTGGACACCTCTGTGCATGGATGGATTCAGTCACTGTCAAAAGGAATCAAAAAGGGCTTTGTTTAAGTAGGGGCACAGACCAAGGATCCTTTCTCAGATTTTGGACTTCTCTACTGATCTGAAGAAAGCATGTGCCTTACCCCAAAAAACACACAAAAATGCGTTCTTGGACGCTTCTGCTCCTGCCCAGCTGTCAAAGATCACAAAACCAACAGGCTAGGAGGAAAATGAGAGAACACCCTGCATCTCTCCCAACATTCCATCCCCTCTCCCAGAAAGGCCCGTCATTTTACTGGAAATACATGTGACAGTAAAAATGTATATGTTTTCAGAAGATACCCACAGACTGCTGGTTCAGTGGCTGTCGAGGAGAGAGGTGAAAATGCAAATGGACCCTAAGTCCCAAGGCCAAGTGTGCCCTGGAGAGAATTCAACAGAGGGCCCAACACACTTGTCCATCTCCTACTGGTTCCCTACACTAGATGCAGGCTCCATCGTGGCAGGGACTGTGCAGTATTCTTGCTTCCCAGCACAGTCCTAGTACCAAAACGCTCACTGCATGAATAGGGGAAATGGATGAGGACTCAGAGATGAAAAAATGACACTCGAAACAATGACACTGGGTTTGGAAGATTAAGTAGGAGCCTGCTAGCTTCAAGTGAGGCAGATGATGCCATAAAATCACCACCTTGATCTCATGTTGGTGGCAAAGCCAGGGTTAGATACCAGGTATCCATCTTGTAACTCCACCAGACCTGAGCTCCTAAACTGCAGGTGAGGTCCACAAAAGGATGCTTGGCAGAAACACCTTCCTAATACATTGTTGTTGTTGTTGTTGTTCGCCGTTGAGTCCCCTCCTTGGGTTTCCAAGGCGGTATCACTATAGAAGTAGATTGCCCAACCTTCCTTCCAAGGAGTGGAACCCACCAGCCTTCTGGTTAGCAGTCAAGTGCCTTAGGCTACCAGAGCTCCTAATACATTGTTGTTGTTTGCCATCGAGTCGCATTCGCATTCGACTCATAGACTTACAGTGACCCCTCCTTGGGTTTCTGAGGTAGTATCACTAGGGAAGTAGATTGCCCAATCTTCCTAATACATTACTGCTATGTAAATGCTGCTGCAGGTTCCCAATGCTAAACTAGCAAGCCCAGATCAGCTAATAATAATGATAATGAAGGGTGAAGGAGAGATTTTACATAGTGTGTTGTCAGTTCTGACTCATAGCGACCCTTCCATGTGCAGAGCAGAACTACTCTCCAGATGGTACCCAGCTACCACTGTCAACCACTCGGAGGGGGATCTATGGAGGAGATCCTGGATAGAGAGGGAGAACAATATGGAACAGAACTCAAAATCATTCGGAGGAAAAAAAAAAGGGGGGGGGTGACCAGGTTTGCTGGTCTGTGTAGAGCCTGGTGGAACCACTGAGACTATGGTCCCTAGCTGCCCTTCAGGTCTGGAATTGAACCCACACCTGTGGCTTCCAGCCAAACAAAAGACAGGCATATGAGTTGAACATGTACCTGAGATAGATACACTCCTTGGAGAGAACAATCATGGGAGAAAGAGGGGCTGTTTACGCACAGGGAGACAGCTCAGGGGGCAGGAGTGTATGGAGGGATGAACACAGGGAAGAGGTGACTATCAGGAGGAAGTGGGAGGGGAGCTGTCGCATTGTGGTGAATTGTGGTCAATGTCATGAGACAACGTGTGTGTGTGTGTGCTGTATGAAAAGTGAATTTGCTCTGTAAACTTTCACCCAAATCACAAATAAAAAAAAAAAAAAAAAAAGAACAAACTATCTATATGGGATCAAAGTGACGAAAGCAACTCAAAAGATTAGATACGATGCTATTGTCGTTGTTATGTGCCAGTTGAGTCGGACCCGACTCATAGTGACCCCTCCTTGAGTTTCCGAGGCAGTATCACTATGGAAGTAGATTGCCCCATCTTCCTTCTGAGGAGTGGCTGCACTAGGGGCAGTGAGTTTATGTTAATGGAAGAGGAAAAACTCAGAAAAGGATGGTGAGGATGGTTGTACAACTTGAAGAATGTAATCAATGTCACTAAACTATACATGTAAAAGACAGCTGAATAGGTATGATTTTGTTGTATATATTCTCAACAACAACAAAATTAATTAATTAAAAAAAAAAAGGACAATGGCTTATATTAGGAACCTGGAGCAATACCAAAGGAGCTCTGGTAGTGCAGTGCCTCAGGCATTTGACTGCTAACCAGAAGGTTGGTGGTTTAAACCCACCAGCCAGCCACTCCATAGAAAGAAGATGGGACAATCTACTTCTGTAAAGAACTATCACCTTGCAAACCCAATGGAGGCTGCTATGAGTCAAAATTGATTTGATGGCAGTGAGTTTAGTTTTTTGGAGCAATGCCAAGCAAAATTATACCCAACACCTACCCTCCAAACACACATACACCTCAACAGAGCCAGGAATGTCAAAGAAAACCTGCCAGGTAACTGTTGGTTACTAGGTGTCCCTACCCCACCCACACAAGAATGACCCCCAGCGGCTGGCTAACCAAGAATGGGAAGGACAAGCTTCTTTCATGTGAGTTTTTGCCAAGAAGCATACCCAGCCAAGATATGCAGGAATCTCTTTCCATTTAAGATGCATCTGCCCCCTCGGGTAATACATTTCCCTAGCCAGCTCCATCATTTTTCCTGCCTCTGCCCCAAGGTTTACATCTCACAGCCCTTGGCAGTTTCTGCACCCCTGTGTACTGCTCTCAAGTCCAGCCCTGCTCCCAGCAGCACCTGGGGAAAAGTGGGTAGCTGAGGCTCCAGGATGGGCTAACAGAGCTCCTGCACTAGAGTACAACCATCCCTACATCTGAGCCCTAATATTAAAAAAAAAAAAAAAACCCGAAATCAAACTCACTATCATCAAGTCGATTCCAACTCACAGCAACCCCACTGAGTTTCCAAGGTGGTAAATCTTTACAGAAGTAGAATGCCCCATCTTCCTTCTGAGAGCAGCTGGTGGGTTTGAACCACCAACCTTCTGGTTAGCAGTCAAATGCCTTAGGCACTGAGCCACCAGAGCTCCTTTTGAGCCCTTAATGTAAAGGCCTTGAATTTTACATGTAAACCCCCCCCCACAGAAATAGACTGCCCAACAGCTTGTTCTTTAAAGGCAGTAGAACTGGAACTCCCTTCTACTCATCCATGTTGGCAGAGATGGTACCTGCTTTTGGGTGCCAGAAAAATACAACAAGACCTGGGCACCCAGCCCTCAAGGGAGTGCAGAGTTTGCCCCCATCCCACCCCTAGATACAAGTCCTCATGCGCAGATGACCTGATAGAGTGCAGGGCCAGGGCCCTCCCTGCTGGACCTGCTCTGCCTCTGCTTTCCTTCTTCCCGCTTCCAGAGATGGTGGGAAGGGTTTGGGTTAACAAGGAGACCAAGACCCAGGGCCAGAGCAGCTCCACAGAAACCTCTGCCTCAGTTCCTCCCCAGGGATCACCAAGTTCACCCGGGCTAGCTAATTTTAAATCCTCCTTTAAATGGCTCCTTTCTAGCCAGGCCTCCCCAGAGGCCCCCTTAAATAGCAAGTTCTCAGCACAAAGTTTCCTGCTTGGAGTGGAGCTGGGAGCACAGGGGATCCTTCCCTCATTCCCAGTCCAGATCCTAGTTCCCAGCCTTGCCTCTAGTCCAGATGATCCTTTTCTTCTGCTTTTCATCTTTTAGATTCTAAAGTGTCTAAAAAGCCACACTATATCTCCTATTCTGCCCACAGCCACCTCTCAGGAAACAAACTGAAGCCAGGGTGGTTATGAACTGGGGGATGGGGATGGGACTGTCCACCAGGTCAGACCCTTCACTGGGAAGCCCTCAGTCTGGGATTTGAGTCACAGGAAGTCTGACCTGAATACTCTCTGGTTCTTACTTGATCCTAGCTATCCCAGCAGAAGATGCTCCTTCCGCCCATTCCCTTGTACAGAAAGGGAAACTGAGGTCCAGAAAGGCTCAGTCACTTGTGAAGGGCATGCAGCTTAGTTCACCAAGTAGCAGAGCTGGGTAAGGTTCCAGTTATCCTGACTCACCACCAACAATAATTTGGCTGTGAGGAAGAGAGGGGATAGCACCTGGGTGGCCTCAGCAACCCCATGGGTGAGTGAAGTATTGCCATAGATCTATTCAGTAGCCCATGTCCTTCCCTAGGCAGTTGTTTAGGATAACAGAGTGGCTGGAGTGATGGGGGCAGAAGAGGAAGAAAGTGGCAAACCAGAGCTGGGGGGAAGCTCCACACCAGGAGAGAGCTCACCTCACCCACCCTTCTGCTTCTGACTCTACCAGATCTCACCCAGCCCCACCTACGCTAGGTCCCCAACTATCATCCACATAGCCTCATCTCAAGACAGGTGCTCTGCCTGGTGGAATCACTGAGACTACGGCCACCAGCTGCCCTACAGGTCTGGAATTGAACTCACACCTGTGGCTTCCAGCCAAATAAAAGACAGGCATAGGAGCTGAACATGTACCTGAGGTAGGTACACTCCTTGGGGAGAACAATCATGGGAGAAAGAAGGGCTGTTTAT